GGAATTACGCGGGTCCAGGCGCACCCCTCCCCCCCCCCAAAAAAAATTAGATCAAAACTTAAAAAGCGCCCCAAAAATCTCGGTAGAAGTGACTGGTGTTAACTGCGGCTTACTGATCCTTCAGCTTCGCTTCGACACGCAGATCACGTCCATTTTCTCCACAGGTTTCCCCAAAATCTCGCCTTTCCAGCCCGTTCTGTGGGCTTGACCGTACGGAGAAAGATTTGGGGGAGCGGAGGGGGCTCCGCCGCCCGCCCTTGTGCCGCTGCGGGGCTGCCCAAGCCCTCTGGAGGCGTTTGAGCGAGGGGCAAGGGGAGGTCACGGAGTCCTGGGGCTGCCTCGCAGAGCCCGGGGAGTGCAGCCCGGGAGAAACAGCGGTGCTCCCGCACAATTCCCAAGAAAACCGCCGAGGAAGAAAGCGGGATGCCGGAGTCGCTTCCCGCTTCGCTGGAAGTACAGACGCACCGTGTCAGCCCCGGTACAGCTGAAGCCCCCCCCCGCTTCTTACTCCCTCTTCCCTCACTTCTCTCTCCTCCCCAGCTATATCTGGGGCTTTTATTGTTGGGCTCGGATTTTTGGGTTTTTGGTTGGGATTTTTTTTTTTCACTTTTTCCTCCCTTAAGCGCAAATATCTTCTCCCCTTTGACATTTGGGGCTTGTGAGCAAGAAGAGCTCTCTCTTTCCATGACACCACGGGAGAATTTTAGGGGTTCTTTGAAAAACTAAAAATCAGGTAGGCGAAGGCGTTGACTTTATTTGGTGGTAGCTGTCAGCAGCCGCCGAGCTCAGAGCCGGAGGTGGCTGAGCGACAGTGGCTCATCCCCACGGTGAGGCAGCAGGGATGCACCCCTGTGTCCAGCTCCAAACTCATCTCTTGGGAAACGGGGCTTGGGGACGTGCCACCACCACACCGAGAAACAACTTTTTCCTGACACCCAAAACTGCACGAGGCACTTTCCTGCCCCTTTCCCTGCTTAGGGACACGGGGAGCTGCTTTCAGTCTCTGTCTCCGAATTTCGCTGGTTTCTTAAGAGGAGACACTGAACTAGTACTCCTGCAAGAAACTCACAGCTGCTACAAGTTGTTACTAAAGAGCATCGAATCAAGTCTCTATCACTGCTGCGATATTTTCTTTTAAAAAATAAACAAAGGAAAGGAAATTAGATTTTTCTGTCCTATTATTAAATGCAGCAAGTTGCCGTACTCGAGCAATAAAACCCTAAAAGTTTATAAAAATATATTAGTAATAATGACAATAATACCAAAAGCAGCGCTCGAAGCGGTGTGCAAACCCGGTAAACTCCTGACAGGAAAACCAAGGCGTTTGGAGCTAAGTTTTGTCGTTTCAGTTCTCCTGCTGGTGGCAACGACGTGTCGATAAACAAAAAGTGAGAATTGAGGGGGAACGGCGGGGGACAAGGGAGAGGCGGCAAGAGCGGGTTTCCAAAGGCGGAGTTTTCTGAGGTCATTTCATCTCGAGTCTTTCGTCATTTTGAATATCAAAGAAAGCTGACTGGACGATTTTCCCCATCCCTCGCCCGGCCGGTGTGATGCGGTACCTTCGCGCACAGATTACTTTAATCAAGATGTTATGACATTCTGAGTTCTTCCCCTGACGCTGACCGTGCGTTTAACAAACTCTCGGCACAACTGTCCGAGCTCTCTGAAAACTGCACTCAACTATGAATCTTGATAGTGTGGACATTTGGAGTTTAATCGTTGCTACTTTTACTTTACATTACAGAAGAAATATGGAAAGTTGTTTGGTAAGTTTTTGATTGGAACTTCAGAGTTTTCTTCTCTATTGTAAGAGCAAAGCGGCGTGCAACATGTAGTAACTTTTCCCTATAAGGGATCTATTTCCCGGTGCAGAAAACAATCAGTATCCCTTCGGAAAATAAAGTACAGCTCTTAAAAACTAGGGGAAAAGACCTTGTCCTCCGCTTAAGCTCCTTCCCCTTCAAAAACCAGCCGGTAAACCAGCGCTGAGGCAGGCAAGCTGCTCTGTCCGCAAACCTGGCAGGGGGAAAAAAAAAAATAAAAAAAAAAAAAATAAAAAAAACGGCGGAGGCATTCCTCAGAGCAGAAGTGAAACTGCCTCGATCCAGGCGAGTTTGTTTGTAAACCCGGGAGGCAGCGAGTCCGGGAGGCGGCGGGGGGGGCGGCTCCGCCCAAGGGGTGCGGGGTGCGCGGCGGCGGCGGGACCCGCCGGGGCTGGGGCTGCAGCTGCTGACTCAGAACAGCAATGTAGGTCATAACGAGTTTCCTTAAGTTACCTAAGTTCCAACAATTCAGCTTTTCTTTAGAGACTTCCAAAGTGCTGTTGCAACATTTCTGAACGCCGTGGCTTCTGCTGAAGCTCAGCCGCCGGCTCCGAGCCACCGGGCTGCGGCGGGGCAGCGCCCGGGGCGGGCATAACCACTTCGGTACTAATGCCTTTTTACATCTCTCTTTTATCATCACATTTCCACCACAACGCTGTTTTTCTTTCTTTACTCTTTTCTCTCAGAATGTTAAAAAAAAGAAAAAAGAAAAAAAAAAAATGCCAACGCGTCGCACTCCTTTTTCAGAACAGAAGCGAGAGAATTGCCTACCTACTCTCTACTCACTTCAGCTCTTTCCAAGAAGGCTTATTCACGGTTCACAGTTTGGATCTATCCTTTATTTCCACTATTTACTACTTTCTACCACCAGTCAGTTTTTACACAATCAGTTACAAGGCTGTTAAAAGAGCTTACTTGTGCCAGGGATTTTGTGTGCAAAAAACCAATCCGACACTCCACACAGTCCATCTTCGAACTACGTAATTTTGGATAATATTTTTTTTTTCTTTCCCCTTTATTATTTTCTTCTTCTCTCTCTCTCCTTTTTCTTTTTTTTTTTTTTTTTTTTTTTTTCTTTTTTTTTCTTTTTTTGCAACCACAGCAGAAGGAGCAAAGAGTAGCCGCAGTCCCCACGGAGAGCCCACGGAAGATGAGCAAGCACCGTGTTCTGTCCCAAGAGCAGCGATGTGGGACGGAGATCTGGCGGCGAAGTTGGAGAGGAGGGGAAAGCCCGGCATTCAGGGGACGCTTCAAGAAAGACACCACACTAAGGGAATTTATTTTATTCGCTCAGAGCTTTCCTCAGGCATTACCTGCGCTCCCCGCTCCGCAGGGAGCTCCCCCGCAAGCAGAGACCGTGCGTGGGTTGGGTGGAGCAGGAGGGGTAGAGTCCCGAGGGAATAGCACTCTCCCCCAGAAAATCATCACCGCGAAGGCATCTGCTGTCCGAAGCATGAGAAGAGAACTTATCCGCCCACAGAACTCACGAAATCAAAGAGTGGGGGAAAACCCCCAAACGTCGCCTGGTTCGACGGCTGTGTTTCTGCTGGGCAAGAATCGCCCGCGGGTCCATCAGGGGTATTTTTAGGGCGACCACACAACCGGTGTGTCACGGTCACGCACGTCTCCAACCTTCCTGCTTCACTCCAGCTCCTCTCTAACCCCACGGTGTCAACCCACCGGCCTGTGCGATAGCAAGGAAGGATTTTCCCGTCTAAACATAGAAAGATTTGCTCAACCGAGCAGGAGCCCCGTGGATGTTTCCCCTAGCATGTTACAAGTAACAGAACCAGCAGCTCCACACGGAGCCCCGAGGCCGGAGCCGGGAGCGCTCGGCAGACTCGGGCAAGCCCGGTCCCGGCCTCCGCCCGCCCGGGGCACAGTGGCTCTGCCTCCCGGGGCGGGAGGGACGAGCCCTCGCTCGCAAAAAAATAATAAAACAAAACAAAACAAAACAAAACAAAGCAAAACAAAACAAAACAAAACAAAAAACCTCAACACACGCGCAACAAACAAAAAACAAAACTCAAACCCAAAAAAAACCCAGAAAAAAACCAAAAAACAGCAACCAGAAAGAGCACCCCAAAAAAGAAGTTGAATGGAAACAAGCAAAACAACAACAAAAAGGAGCACACTTGCTTTGGTTTTTTTCCAGGCTTGCTACCCTGCGCCGTCCCCGCCGGCAGAAAGTTCTCCCCCCGTCCCGCGGCACCCGAGGGCGGTGGCCGGGGTGACCGTGGGGGTTCAGGACCCGGAGGGAAACGAGACGTGGGCAAAGCTCGGCACCCCTTTGGGAACACGTCCCCTCAGCCTTGGCGGCGATGGAAGGCCCTCCTCTGGTGTTTGCAGTTTTCTTTGTTTACATTCAGTTTAGAAACATTGGCCTTCGGCCAGAACAGCGACGGCTCCCCTTCTCTCCCCCCACTTTTGTCCCCCCTCCCCCTGCTTCTTCTTCGGTGGCGGAGAAAATCCTTAAGTTTCACGACCCCCAGGTTTTAAAATGTTTGCCCGTCGGCTCCCCAAATTAACCCTTCGGCGCTACCTCGTAAAGAAAACGGAGCCGGGTGGTGCGTGCACCTGCCCTCGGAGCTCCCAGCCGAGGGGGTCGCAACAGGTTCTACCGGGAGACGGAGGGTACCGGCGAGCCGATCAGCGCCCAACCGAGCGGCGGGGCCA